CCCAAACTGCTGTCAAAGTGGTGGAGGATTGGTCCAAAGCACAGAAGATGCAGCTTAACGCTGACAAATGCAAAGTTATGGTCATCGACTACAAAAGGCAGAAACACCATTTCACTCCCCTTTTGGTCGATGGCAAAGTATTAGAGACGGTAGAGTCGGCTAGGATCCTAGGCGTGACTATTGCGTGTAACCTTAAGTGGAATAACCACGTCAATGATGTTATAAAAAGAGCAAACAAACGATTATACTTTTTAGTCCTCCTAAAGAGAAACCGCATTCCAGCGGATGACATAATTAATTTTTATTGTACAACTATTCGTCCTGTTCTGGAATACTGCGCACAAATATTTCATCATGCGACATTGAAAGGGTCCAAAGACGCGCATTATCCATCATTTCACCAGAACTGTCATACCATGACTCCTTAGACAGGCACGGTTTAGCTTCGCTCTATGACAGACGCATGAAATTATGTACGGATCTGTTTTTGTCTGTCTCAAATCCATCTCACAAATTATATAATTTGCAGCCAGATAGGCATTTTTCAGCTTACAATACTAGACACCAGCGCGTTTTTAACATGCCGCGCTTTCGCACTGACCGTTTTTAAATTTTTTTTATCCGGGCTATGTGCGCGTGTGCTAACCTAGATTCTTAGCTATTCCACTGCTGTATATTAGCGATATTAGTTATATTAGTAATTTTATTTAGGTCTTAGCATTTTTGTAAGAGGTAGTCTTATATAGCCTTATATAATAAATGATTATGACAAGCACGCAATTCAGCCTATGGCTGCAATGTATTTTATTTGATAATAAACTATATATCTATCTATCTAAACTATCTATCTGCTGAAAAACAAAACTCCTGAAAAACAATTTTGATACTTACTTAGCCTATATCAGGGAGTAACCACCTCCCTTGCCCCATAGGCCACACAGTCAACTTCGCATTTTCTGCTCAAGAGACTAAGATTTTTTCCTCTGAAGGAAAATGCCATCTCTACAAATACCGAGCACTTCTCAGAAGGTGAGAGTGTAATCAAGAAACTTATCAGGATATATTGGTCAAAGCCTGTATATAAGATAGAATTTGAGCACAAACCATCAATACATGTTATCACATTATGTGCAGCAAGCGTAGTAGCTCATGCATCTTTAGGATGTACCACAAGTCTAACAATTTCGTTCTTTCAGTTTTGCGCTCAATGGATTAACGAACACATTGTCATTGCTATCATTTTAAATGAAGATGATACAATTTTTAGAATGGCTTTTTCAAATATTGCTTCCATTCTGACATTCTCCTGCTCTGGTCTTAACGGTACAAGTCTGAAGTCTTAACGGCACGAGTCTGAAGTCTCAACGGTACAAGTCTGAAGAACGACCACCTTCTACAGTTATTCTCAAGTCCAAAGATAACATGTCAAGCACTAAATGTGAGAGTCATTGATGACCGTGGTCATTTGGAGAAGGGAGAAGGCCCCTGCGCACTAAGAGACGTATTATCTTCTTTATGGCAACACATATTTGCTTCTGTAACATTGGGGCACGTTGAAAAGGTACTTCCCATCAGCCATAATCATCAAAGACATGAAAGGGAGGTAATTGGACTTGTGTTGCTGAATGGTTTTAAAGAAACAGGCTATGTGCCTTTATATTTACACTTGTGCGGCTTAAGCACTGAAAGAGGTCAAAGAGAAGTTCTTGTTCACGTTTGAAGTTTGTGTTCATTTCCTTTGCTAGTTCTTCGTCCATGATAGTTGAGCACGTGAGTGATTTAAAATGCTCTTCCTGCCATGAAATAGACTTGATTACTTAATACTTGGTTGTAAAATTAGAAAAGTAGACCTGTGGTTATTATGGGGTTGAAAGACATTTATTTTTCATATATTTTGCACTTGACTCTGTCCAATTGAATTTTATTACTATTCCACGTGGTCACAGTCATTTGGTGTTCCAAAAACAAAAATTAAAATTTAACATGAACAACTATTTCGAGGGTTTAATGCCTCCGCTGAATAGAGGTTTTACTTCAAAGGGGAAGTGACGAGTTTTGAGATTGATTTTTTAAGTTGTTAGGGTGATAGTGATGACGTTAAGGATCAAAAAGTCAATTCTCCTAACTAGGAATAAGGGTGACATCTCATATTTCTCAAACATGTCTCTTCCGTATCTATGTCATCGAAAAAATCAGATAACCCAATTTCAATGCCAGCCAAATCGGTTAACCCAATTTCAATGCAAGCTAAACTAGATAACCCAATTTCAATGCCATCCAAACTAAATTAACAAGTAATACGACAATCATATGATTTTAAAACAATAGCAATCAATGATTCATTTTCTTGTAAAAGTCCCTTATGACAGTAGTAGTTGTAATAGTCATCTTGACTCGTTGTCGCTGGGACTATTTACACTATTTACATTTTTTTTTTTAAAAGAGGTGAGATGAAGCTAGGTGACCGTTGGAATAAGAGTTAGAGAGAAGCCAGCAGTTCAGTCACGTGCATGTCCTCTTCCATCCACTGCTCATACCCATACGGGAAGGTTTGGAAGGTCCGAGGATTCAACACAAGCTTTTTGTAGACCAACTTGTATTTCTTTTCTTGGGCCATGGTGGATAGTTGATATTCTTCAGCGTTCCTCACGATTTTGAATGGTATTGGCACAGCGGTGACGCCCACTTCGCCAGACTCCAGTGGGGAAGTCAAGTTTTCCAATACATTGTTCTTGAGGACTCTGAAATTGACGTATCTCTTCCCCAGGCTATTGAGCATGATACCTCAGACTTTACATTCCTCTTTACCTTTGTGGGTCTTGTACCCGTAGTTCTTGAGACCTCCAGAGGTAAATTCTACTATGTAGTCATCTGGCGGCAATTCGTCCATAAAGTCTCCCAGATAATCTCCCAGTGGTGGGTTGGGCATTCCCTGGGCGGAAAGGAACACGACTGAGTCCGTGTCTTTGTACAGCACTCATTCTTTTAACATGTCGAGAGCATCGTAGAGTTTAAGACAAGCCAAACAGGTCGTGAAACAGGCCACGAATATGTTTAGGTTGGGCAGGATGGATTCGTCTTCCTCTTGTAGAGTGTACTGTACTTCCACACGATCGTCTGATTGGATACCCACATACTTGATCTGGAGGGTGTCGCTGTTGCAGAAGGTAGAAAACTTCTGGGGATTGTCAAATTCCCGGACTTGGGTCTTGTTGGTACACTGACCAAATTTACCCTACATGGAGTTTAACATCATCTTGGCCAGCATACGCAGTCCGGGGTTTTTCTCGATCTTTTCCGGGTCCGATTCGATCCCCTCTGTCTCTGTAATCGTCCAAGTGTTGTTGACTTTTCAGGGGATTGTCACCCAGGTGACTTGGCCACCTGCTGGCCTCTTCCTTGATCTTGAGCCACGTGTTCATGTAATCTTTGAAGAGCCCTTTGCGAGTGGTCAGGAAATGCCACACTTCGAGTACGCAGATGACTGTGTATCCCTTCTCAATAGCCTTGAGGAGTTCTGGAATGCACCAGGTCCCTATGAGTTGGCATTGCAAATCCGTGTGAGGGTTTGGACATTTCCTCGGTCATGCAGGAAACACAGAGCGGAAAGGTGAGTTTGCCAGCGTGACGGTTAGGTAGCACAGGATGGAAGAGACCACGGGGTGGAAGCACCATGCATTTCGCCAAGCCGAAATGAGGAGAAAGGTCTGTATGACCAGGTTAGGAGATGATCTTGGGATGTCCCAGAGGGTACTAACCGTTCTTGTTGACCCATGGATACAGAGAGGTGACATCATAGTAACAAATCTTTTCCCCACTAGTCTCGTCTACCTTGCGATAGAGTCATGTCACTTGTACGACCTCCGAAGAACGGATCCCGAGGATTTAGAGGGGCCGAGAGATTTAGGGCATCAACGAATGCACAAACGTCTTCACATTCTCGTTTCAGTTTTTCCCATTGACACTCCCAAATTTCGACTACCCTGAAACCTTGATTACACAGTAAGTCGAGTTTGACCTGCGCGCAATGGTACACGTTGTCAAAGCACCTATCGTCAAGGCAGTGGTGGGATTCAGTGCGATTGGAATAGCAGCCTGGACAACCATGCCAAAAGCAGCCTTGGAACTCGTAGACGGTGTTGGTTTTCTGATGGTATCCATCTACAGCGTACCAGGAATGGGGAATCCGGTACTTGTCAGAATTGCTGGCACGTCGGATGGAATTGTCTTCATCCGGTAACTGGTGCTGTTGCCAGTGGAGCCATTCCAGGGCAACGCAAGAGTGGTTGGTGTTCAAGCACCACCTGTGGAACAGTTTGTTGGCAATCGTGTCAGCCTCCATGTGGTTCTGACGGATATCCAGGTTGCAAGCAGAGGTGATGGTAATGTGGGAAAGGGGCTTGAAGCAAGCCAGAGGTTCAAATAAAGACTTGAAGGAGAGACACCCCTGCTTGAGGAGTTTGACGTCAGACTTGCATTATTCAGTCAACTCCTTTTGAAAGTCGTAGATGACGTTGTCGAGTATGCCACGCCTCAAAGTCCCGTCGCGCAGATACAGACATGACGTCTGGCATGAAGTAGGAAGTGTTAGGAATGCGTCTGATGTAGGATTGATTACAAGGGGTGTTGAAGAGATGCAGAAAATACCCATTCTTGAGTTCAGTGAGACCGAACGTCTTGGGAAAGGCAAAGAGCAGCATTTGGAAGAAGGAGAGAGAAGCTATAAAGGTGATGCAATCAAAGGTGACCTGCAACAACTTGGCACTGTTCCTCAACTGCTGGACGATGCAGTGTTGTCGATGTTACTCTTCAACGACAAAGTAACCATCGTACCCTTGGAAGTTGTGGGACAACACCTTGACATCTCGGCTGTCCTCCTCCATCAATGTGTCCAGCCACTCCAAGAAGTCGCGATTGCACAAGTCTCCCTGGAAGCGGACTGGACACTCGTCATTCTCAGCTTCGGCTACAACAAGATTCAGAACATGATGTTGCGTGTCCTACATGGCCTCCACGTCAAAGAATACATGTAACGGAGGTTTTTCCTCATTGAGGTCGACACCATACACAGGAGGTGAAGGAAGAAGAGAAGTGGAAGGCACATTGTCCTCGTTGGAGTGTACGGTGGCCAAGCCGGCAGCAGCACCACGCATACAACAACCAGGTCTTTGTTTAACACGACATTCTGCCTGTTCTTCCTTGGGAGTCTTGGCCAATTGAATGAAGCACCAATGCAACAAGGCTACAACGCAATGGTGGCATGAAGGACACGTGACGTAGCCACACCAGTGTTCTTGTTGCTGTTTGCGACCCACAAGGAGTTTGCGACAGTTTCCGCACTTCCTGTGACATGTACAGACGCTCAGTTGCTGGTGATCCGCGATCTTCCCACTCTGTGTCTTAGACACATGATTGGTGAAACACACTGTCCCATAGAATGTCCGTCTGCACGAGTCGCAGATCTGCATCACCGGAAGACTTCAGCCTAGGGCCTCAGTGTAATCCAAACATCCAGTCTGGAGACAGGCACTGCAGTGGTCCGGGTTGTTATTGCATGCATGGTAACCTTGGTTGTCGTAGGGTTTGAGACACCTCACGCAGAAGTTCGAGGTGCCAAAGAATCCGGGTAGAGATGTGATGACGTCGTAATGGCCATTGTCATAGGGGAGGACAAGCTGCTTTTGTGAAGGTGGGCCAAACAACATCACAACATACCCACGCATGCCATCACAGAGAAGAATTTGATAGTCCTAGAAAGAAGGAGCAAGAGAGAAGGCTCGGAGTTCGTCATGCCCACACAAACCTCGGGGAACTCTCATTTTGTGATGAAGGTCTACTGCATGTTCTGCTTGGATCCTTCTGCCTCTTTTGAACCCGTCCCAGTTGGGGTGTTGGTCAAGTCTGGCTTTGGCCGCGACGATGGCTCTGGTGCAGCAAAGTTTGTCTCCATTCTTAATGATGAGCACAGACAGCTTCTTTTTCTTGAAGGATGTCAAGGTGGAATGGCCGGGTTTCAACTTTGCGTTTGCGACCAGAACTCATCGGAGGTGCGCACACGTGCGTGAAGGAGAGTTGGAAGGAATCATCCATTTCGAACTGTTAGTTGGGGTTGAGCATGGTGCTCATTTGTTGCAGAAGGGTGTCCACCTGCGCCCCACCTCAAAGCCATTTGCCGGCCGTCAGACTGCGATAATTGCAAGTGTGGGATAGTCGATAACTCAGTAGTCCCAGGTACATGCGATCTTAGGCCGGGACATGGTCTTGTTTGATGAGACGATGGACAGCAGCATGCAGGGCTTCGGTAAGAGCCGAAGGTACATGCTATGAAGGAATGAACGCACTGCCTTGTCTCAGACACATGGTGTAGTGTAGCTCTCGCACTCCCATGCATTCACTCCTGCAATCCACAAAGGGATCCAAAAGAAATTTGAAAGAACCAGGAGGAGCAGCAGAGGAAAGGGCTGCATCTCCCAGTTGAGATTGATAGGAAAATTGATGATCGAAAGCTTCACCTACCTCGTTCAATTCATTCTCACCTTTTCTGTTCCTAGCCGCAGCTAGTAGAGTTTCCTCATCCAAGTCTTGTACGAAGCATCCAAAGTCTGGTGGTCCTGCTTCCATGTTGATTGAGTCAGAAAAGGAACACTGGGAAGGAGACTATACTTATATACTGAGTTGTACGTCATCACACCATATTGGGGAGCACCTTTATATTAGGACTTAGTACATGGTATAGGGGGAGGGGGTATCCCCTAGTCCTACTAGAAGGGTACTGGTACTGAGTTTGTAGTGGTTATAAGAAGGTAGGCTTTTCGAAGACACTTGTTACTCATTGGTAGGAGAGACGAACGAATGAAAAACATGAACCAAGACCTGAAAGATAATCCCAAATGGGCATCCTTGTACCTACAAGACATGATGGACATTTATTTCAGCACTGAGCGGACGAGGATTCCTTGAGACAAGTGGTATGCTATGCCAAAGCTTACATCCAGGACATGACGGAAGAAGAAGATGACAACAAACTGACGGACGACAAGAAGTAGTTTCTAATCCTGAGGAATCCAGTCATGCACACCTTTATGAATTTTGTCAAATTTTGTTACGATGTAGGGTGCAATTGTGAAGAGTGTAGGATCGAAAAGGAAGAAGAAAAATGTAGCGTTTTGAATAAGGATGAAGAGAAGAGAGAAGGAAAAGAGTGAGACTTTTGTTACAACACTCTTTTTTTATTCTTCTGTTTTTCCCAATGTTAATGAAACCAAAAATTCAGCAACGGTCTAGTTTCCAACTGAATGGTTCTCTGGAATAAATTGTGTAATTCTTGTGTCATTTGAAGAATGATGCATCTGCTTTCCTCGATGGTAGTGTTTTGGGGGTTTAGGTAGGGTGGGTGACATGGGACAAATCTCTGTTGAGGGTAGTCAAATTGGTACCACTGGTCTGTGTAGACGCACACAGGTTTCTGTTGCTCCAATGCCATTTGCACGCTCCAACCGGTTCCTCCCAGTAACGTGTGGGGTTTGGTTGCGTTGAAATGTCCAAAGGCCAGCACGAGATTGGTATCCCTCACCACCCAATAGTTTCTCTGTAACAGTCCCGTCTTTAACACATTTTTGGGTAGAGGGCATTGCAACGTCTTGTTGGCGCGTAACACGTGCTGCAAACCCTTGTGCAACATGCTTTCCGTCAAAGGCATGATACAAACGGTGCAGGAGTAAGTGGGTGGAATGATGATGCAAACGCTCATGTCATACCTTCTGGCCGATTCCTCGGCGAGAGCATCCACACCTTACAGGACACGCCCATTTGTGTATTTGATGTACAATGCGAGAGGTAAAAGTACGGAAGATTTTCTCAAGCTATTTTCTAAGCACGATCTTGCAAGTAATGATGACAAAGTAGGGGACATCTTGGAAGATATTGTAGAGAACGAAATAAAAGCTTTTGAATAAAACACGTGTGTTTCATTTGAATCATGAGTTGTGTAGAGCAAGGTTTTACGTTTAAATCTCCTTTGAGCATTTTGGTCGTGGAACCCTCCAACTGTGGAAAGACCACCTTCCTAAAACGTCTCTTATTGGAAAATGAGGACCTTCTTGTGACACCCCCCCAGAAGGATCATCTACTGTTACGGGTCTTGGCAACCGACCTTTGACATCCTAAAAAGGAAAGGTGTGACGTTCCACGAAGGAAGTACCTACCCATGAACAATTGAAAGAATGGTTTGGGGACAAAAAAGGGGGTCTCTTGATCTTGGACGATCTCATGGCCAAGGTAGGAGACGACAAAGATATCCTAAATCTCTCCACTCAGTATTCGCATCACATGAACGTCACCATGTTTTACCTATGTCAAGACATGTTCCCTCACGGAAAATACGCCAAGACCATCTCTAGGAATGCTCAATACATAGTGGCGTTCAAAAATCCTAGGGACCAGGTGGCCTTGTGCACGCTCTTACCTCAACTGTATCCCATGACTTGGAAAGACCCATTGGAGCAAAATAACGCATGTACAGAACGTCCCTTCAGTTATTTATTATTAGATGTACATCCTGCTACTCCAGACAATAGAAGATTACTGAGTCACTTATTGAAACACGAAGGTTGTATCTGTTGTTACAGATAGATAAATCAAAACACAAGAATTCCTTAAAGATACGTCATCAAGTGCTCATGAATCAAAAGGGTGGTAGCTTTTGGAGTGGTCTGAATGAAGCGCTTTGCTGTTGCATCAAATGAAAAGAGGTAGAGGTTCATTCCATTTTTGAGTAGGTAACTACGATATAGACATAAATGGGGTGACATGTAACCCACATTTCAAACAGTGGTTTTTGTCGTCTGTGGAAGAAACATATCGCCGTTCCTCTTCAACGCTTGAGGAAACGTACATGATATCCCTATGTCTATCATAAAGCGATCTATATGCAGCGTTTCCTCTCCATTAACACACATTGTAAATCTCTCCATTACTCATGGTATCGTTCTGGATGATTTGAAAATTGCTCGTGTCATACCTATTTTTAAATCAGGTGACAAAGCTCTCTTCAGCAACTACAGACCTATTTCTGTTCTACCGTGCTTTTCAAAGTTTTTGGAACGAATGATTTACAACCGTATTATGAATTATCTCAATGACTCCGATGTCTTATGTGATAATCAATATGGCTTTAGAAAAAATCGCTCTCCTAGCCTTGCGCTTATCGATTTGTGTGACAAAATTTCTTCTGCATTTGATAGAAAAGAACATGCCATTGGAGTATTCCTAGATCTTTCGAAAGCATTCGATACGGTAAATCACGACATTCTTTTTGAAAAACTCAATCATTATGGGATCCGTGGTCTGGCACTAGAATGGGTCAAAAGTTATCTTTCTGAGAGGACACAATTTGTCGAATTTAATAACGTTAGATCTGCCCCACAGGGATTCCTGTGGGGTGCCTCAAGGTTCTATTCTTGGTCCCTTATTTTTTATCCTGTATGTTAATGATTTGAACAATGCTTCCCTGCTTGATGCAATCTTGTTTGCTGATGATACAAACTTATTTATCTCCCATAATGACCCTGTTTACCTAATTAACACATTAAATAGAGAATTAAACAAATTGTCAACCTGGTTTGTAGCAAACCGGCTCTCCTTGAATTTAGCCAAGACCAATTTTATGGTATTCAAGCCTTGGCAAAAGAAGCAATCCTTTGAATTTCAAGTTTTCATAAATGAGCAGCCTATTCTTCGTGTTTCTGAGACCATGTTTTTGGGTGTTTTATTAGACGACAATTTGACCTGGAAATCGCATATATCCTTAACAGCAAATAAATTATCCAAATCTATAGGTATTATTCATAAATCTAGGTTTTTTCTCTCTACTCACTCCCTTCGTACTTTATACAATTCTATGATCCTTCCATATTTGTATTATTGCAATTTAGCTTGGGCTGGTACCTATAAGTCAAACCTTCAAAGAATTGTAACCTTACAGAAACGTGCGTTAAGAATAGTAAGCAATTCTACATACATTGCCCATACTGGCCCTATTTTAAAGGAACTTAAACTCTTAAAATTTCATGATATCCATTCGTTTCAATTAGGTACTTTTATGTTTTCATTCAAGAACTCTACACTCCCTTCCAAATTCAATAACTTTTTTTTTTTTACTGAATAGTCAAATCCACAATTATAATACTAGGAATGCTCAGTCCTTCCGTTTGCCACTGTGCAGAACGAACACAAGGAAGTTTTCAATTTACTTTCAAGGTCCAAACTTTTATAATTCGTTAAATTCTGACATAACTAGTTCTCCCTCCTCCGCTTCTTTTAAAAGAAAGCTTAAGGAATTTCTTCTCTCTAAGTATTAGCTTCTGTAAGGCAGTAATTCTTAACTAACTTAGTTAATATGTGTGTGCGTGTGTGTGTGTGTACGTGTGCGCGGTCAAAGTTAATTACCATAAGTCCATATTGTAATTCTAATATAAGATTAGTTATTTTAAGTGAGAAAGCCTGACTTGTTATAAGCCTCGTGGTTTCTTTCAGGTTTTCTCGCCATTTATTTTCTGTCATCAATTTTCTTCATTTTTTTTTTTCCATGTGTAAATGTCGTATATGGCAAATAAATATTGTATTGTATTGTATGATGATAAAACCCGATGAATTTCGTACCTTGGTAGACTATTACAAAGGAAAGATTTCAGAAAGTAACTTACTGGACAAGGCAGCGCGAGTGGCAGCCAAAGCTCAGATTTTGATAGATGATCCTAATACCCCTGCTGTCTTGAAAGAACTTGTGGTGAAAGAGATGTTGAAGGAAAAAAATATTTTAAATGATAAACTACGACAAGGACCATCAGTAGCCATGACTGCCCCTGGAGTCCCTCAACCCCCCATCGACGACAACAAGATGGATGGGTTACAAGAAAGACTGTTGAAAGAATTGGTAAAATCCATAAATGCCAACACACAATCCATTGTCCCCCAAATCACCCAAATACCTTTGACAGTAAAGAAGGAGGAGCCAAAGCCTAAGAAAAAACGTAAACAAACTGAAGTCGAACGATTGAAAGAGTTCAGTTTGTGGGAACCTTGGGAAAAGAGAGGATACGATCCCTATCAAGCATTTCAAGATGACGAAGATGAATATGCACCAAGTACGAGCCAAGGGAAGGGGAAAAAGGGGAAAGGGAAGAGCAAGAAAAAAAAGACTGGTTAAAAGATGTCCTCAATCTGGAGGTGGTCATTCCAAGAAGAGAACGCGCCAGCAAGGGGGAGGATTCGACATTCAAAAATTGGATATCTAAATTGGGGGTAGAGTTTCACTGGCTGGGGTACCAGTACACGGGGCCAGGCACGAAACTATAAAAAAGATTGAATAGCGGGGATCCTGGTATAAACCATTTAGATCGACTTGCCAAACAACATGATATTGATAGCCAATCGTAAAATGGTGGCAGGTATCAAACGATTTCCTGGAAAAAAGACAATGACCGAAAAGATTGTGAAAAAGATCATGCAGGGTAAAATAAAATTAGGTTTGTAATGTACCCATGTCTCATTCTTGACTTCACTTAGTCCCGTATCAACTGCTCTTGACAGGAATGTATTCGTACGACGCTCCCATCATTCAATACGTAAAATTACGTAATCCACATATCGAGGAGATAGAAACGGAGATAAGTGAGACGGATACGAATCAATTGGTTCAGTTCTCACAAGGTGCAACGATACTCACAGTTCACTTCAGAAAGGCTGAACGTCAGGTGCAATAGAGAGGAAAGGGGTCCCGCTGAACTTAATTATGTTCTCATCCAAACTACAAGTTCTACGTAGACGAGCGTGAAAAGACCCTTTGTTTGTATGTCTATTCCTCTTTATGCAATCCCATCATGGTCAATGTGACATTAAAAATGGCGTTATGATTTTTGTTTAAAATTAAATAAATGATAATCACCATTGCACCAAATCTTGCAATCTCGTTTCCATGACTTCCATGGTCGTTTTCACAATGGAATGAAGTACCACACAGAAATGATTGTTCAGAGAGTCCACAAATAACACATAAAGTGTAACCATCTGTAAAGATAAAAAACATACCTCTTTCATTTTCAATAGTTTTTTCAAGTGTCTCTTTTTCTCGCGAATACATCTCTTGTTTCCACAGACCTTTTCACGTTTCTGTTCTTTGTTCAAGAGTCTCGCCTGTCTCGCTCCTTTCTTTTTTTCCTGCAAGAGGTGTACCGGTTCCATGACGTTCGTGGTAATGGGACGTTCCGGGTGCTTTTCGTCTTCTGCCAATAATGTAAGGGTTTCTTCTACCATGTCCTGATCGTAACCCAAAAGATAGTACGTGTTCTTGTTCTCCATGATCAGTGTAAACAAATTTTGGCAAGGGGTGCACGCCATGTGTTTTTTTATAATCTATGACACATCATTCTCTTAGGGGGTACCCACGTCGCCAGAGAGAACAATACCCTTCCTATTTTTACATGGCATCGTATCAAAGGTAGTTTCCCATATATGGTAGGATGTGGAGAGAACAATACCGTTCTTATTTTTATATGGCTTCATATCAAAGGTCGTTTGCCATATATGGTAGGATGCAGAGAGAACAATACCCTTCCTATTTTTAGACGGCGTCATATCAAAGGTCATTTTCCATACATGGTAGGTCGATGAGTTGTTCTATCCCGTATATGGTAGGCTAGTCCGTCATATGTGTTCTTCCCATGACCATATTTGGTCATGCATCAAAGTGTACATGATGTCCCACCCTCCCTCCCCCTCCCTTCTACCAGTACCAGGTCTCCTCATGTCACTACTATAAAAAAGGACTGTTGCACGTCCATTGGATCTCATTTGAGTCTTTCCCTTCTTCGCGTAAGGATGGTTGTCAGCTTACCGTTTCCAGTCCTTTTCAAAGTGGAGATCCGGCTGCAGATGAACCTTGAAAGATGTCCATTGGAAATAAAATTGATCATCTTGCTCCAAGTCATACAAGACAAGATTAATATGTTTCAAACATGGGACAACGTGAGTGCTTTTTTATCTAAAGGTATTTTTTCCCAAGTAAATCATTGGTTTGTTTTTTTCAGTTGACCTATTTCACTGATGCGTTACCATCCAAAGAACGAAACTTCCTAATCCACAAGTGGACCAATCACATGATTGACAAAAAATCCAAGCAGTGCAAAAAAGTACACAGGCATTTGGTAAGTTTTTTGTTTTGTTGTTTTTCATTTAACATTAAATAGTACCTTCTAAGACTTGGCTTTTTTTTTGCATCCCCTAAGACGTGTTCCTGCGAAGCGCATACATGGCATAAAATGATTGATAATTTCCTAGCTGGATCTTGTTTCTTTCTTACCTAAGGTAGGTTTTTTTCCTTTTTGTTTTTTGTTTTTTAAGTCCGTAACTTGTGCAACATTGAATCTTGTTCACGGGCTATGGAGACATTGTTATCTCATAGAATATTATCCTTGCCACATTCCTCGTTGGGTATTCAGGTCAATTTTTTAAATCTATAGTTCAATCGGGTTGTTCACTTCCGTGATCTCTATGGGTGCGCCTCTCTTCACAGAAACCATTGTATATGTAGAGGTTGTAAACATTATCGGGACTATGATATGGTGCCTCCTTGGTGGCTTTTCCTCACGAATTGGTGATTTTTTATTTTCACAGGAACATTCCATAAGGTATCATTTTTTCTCTTTCCTGCAGCCTACAAGAAATGCAGATTACGGCATTTATCCCCATTGTACTTGTTTCTTGTGCAAGTATGTTGAAATTCACGGGTGTAGGCCAATCCACGGTTATCTCTAAAAACCCAATCAAAACCAACAGGTAGTTTTTAAATATTTTTTTTAGAAATATGTATCAGGATCATGGTTCTTCTGTGAATGCATGTCGTGCTGTGTCTCTAGAGCCCACTCAATACATTGGACACCTTAGGGTGAATGTTTGGTTTTTTTTCCCCAGTTAGGAATTAATAGATGTCCCTGTCAAACATGAAACACTCGTAGACTAGAAGGAAAGTTTTTACCTCCCTCGTGGTTCGTAGAGATTTACTGAGGGTGAGTTTAGAAGAACCATGATCCTTATCGTGTCACATACATCGTTTTAAAATGAATTTTTTACTCTCTTTAGAAAATTGTGTTTTTAATAACCAGTTGCATTTGTGGAGAGATTACCCAAGAAGAGTTATTGCAAGCCATACTACAAATTATATCAGTGGTCTCTTTTTACTTTGCTAGGCATTAAGTTTTTAATTAGGGTTTTCCTCGTCATTACTTAGAAAAAGATTCTCATCATAAGGAGCTATTACTGATTTTGACACATCCATGTTATTGGCGATCATGTTATCCACGCAGCGTTCTTTTCTTACCATAAACATTGTAATAAATATTTTAATAAATATTATTTAATCTTATATGCATGCATAAAGAATTACATGTGTCACACATACCACAATCCCTGAAACTAGTTACCATTCCCCTTTCAAGTCAAGACAAAAAAAAAAAAAAAAAAAAAAAATGTAAATCGTGTAAATAGTCCCAGCAACAATGAGTCGAGATGACTACTTGATGATACCCACCCGCATCTTTCATAGCAATCAGGGAATCATGACACAAGTCGAAGGTAACCAACCCCTCAAGGCATGCCCCATTACCACGGGAGATATGGTTTTAATGCTCCCACATGAGAGGGGGACTGGGAAGTCATTTTTAAGAACTACAAATGCGCATTTTTTTAGGTTACCACATGGAATGGAAAGATTGAAGCGTGACAGTTTCTCCTAACTACAATTGATGACGTCATCATTTACCTCATAGGTCAGGTTGTAAAGGTGATAGTGGTGACGTCATAGGGTCAAAAAATCAATTCTCCTGGCTAGAATAGATGACGTCATCATTTACGTCATAGGTTAAGTAGGGAGAATTCGAAAAAGATCAGCTCTGAGCGAGCGGATACCACTACTGTGAGCTGTTAAAAGTAAGCTGTCTCACTGATTGCACCATCTAGTGACATCTTTTCAAATGTGATACTCAAAGCCTCAACAAATTTCAGTCCTTTCATTTCAAAACAATAGTTTTATCAGTTTCGATTTGCCAAGCTTTTAAGATTAGACTTATTCAACATATTATTTGATTTGATAATTTTCATATGTAATACTACACAAAGATAATTTTTAAGCATTCTTGAAGGTGTGTTTAAGTATATTGAAATTTCCAGATTATGATTATTTCAACAGTTTGAAAAAATGGATTTAATTATGCATATTACGTTGACACTTTTTGCTTTTGATGAGTCCATTTTTGACAAAGGGTATAATTATGGTTATTGCTGCAAACATCACAATACATTTATATATAACAACTTTATTGGGTACGTCTACGAATAGACGGACGCCAATTGGGTTAGTGCAGCGGGACATGGAGTCCCATACGGGGCACTACCCCTCTTAAATCCACCCAACCCAACCCAGGGAAGGACATCCATCACACAGTAATATTTAGCGTCACTTTGTTTTCTTATCCGAATTTGGGCCACAACATAGTGCCCCGGCCAGGACTCGAACCCGGGCCGTCCGACCCAGAGTCCAGCGCTCAGACCACTGGACCACTCACGCCTCAATACCACTCTTTATTTAGCGTACACTTTGTTTTGGAATTTGGGTTAGCGTCTTTCCGCTCTTTACCAGTTGTTTATATGATTATGCAATCTTTTTTAATTTCATCAACTACATTCCTATATCGTGCTACATGTTTAAATATCTTCATTCTTCTTTTGGTTTTTTATGAAAATGCTTCAAATGGTTAGATAAAGAATGGTTAGATTTGTTTCCTTATTCTATTTATTGAGATTTTGCATATCAACATGGCCTATACTCCATATTTCATCAAATGAATGTGATTCACAATAACACCAAGTAGAGTAAAATCCCTCTTTGTAGGTTTGAGTAATTCCTCTAATTTTTGTTGCCAACTTATTTCTTTACACGAGGGCCTTTTCTGTTTTTTGAAACACGAAGACCAAGTTTCTGTTTAGCTTTGACCATTTTTCGATCTGCTGAATTTTTGCACTTTTTGGTAATTGTGAAGAAGAGCTCTCCAAAAAACCTGTCGGCCGACTGTCGGTCAACTGTCGGCCGACAGTTGACCGACAGGTTACTGACAGTCTACCGACAGGTCAAGAAAAAAGAAAAATTGTGTTAAA